AGGCTACATGGGTCAGCAGTAATTATAATTATATATATATATATATATAATCGTAGTGTCACGGTGCCCAGTGTTATTGTGTTATTTACTGTGTGGTGATTGCAATATATTGACCTATGTTCTAGGGGTCATTTGCAGCAGTAAGTAAGTAAGTGTGTGCAGTATCCTAATATTTGGAAATTAGAGTACTTGCCGTGTGTGTTATTGCAAAGGGGGTTGTTATTTGATGGTGATTGTTGCTAGTGTTGAGCAATCACCGTATGTGATTGCAGTCCAGTAAAGCCATTGTGGGGCAGTGTTCTAGAGGGTTCATGTCCTGTAGGTTATTTTACTAGGTTCTGTAGTATTGTCATTGCAACCGGATTGTAACGTAAATCACTGTGATTTGTTAGTGTGATTTGTCATTGTCGTGGGGGAACTCGGCTGTAGACGAGTACTTGGGTACAAATATATTCTCCTGGTTATCTGGTAGGACATCGAAGTCCAGTATTCAGTGAGGTGATTGCGAGGCAATTAATATAACGTAACCAAGGGAACGCCCATTGCTTTAAGAGAATTTGTTCTTTGACAATTTGAGTAACGTAGAATGCGTTTGGGTTAATTTACTTTCCTGCAAGCAGCTACGGTAGTCTCGAGGAGCCTAGCCATCAGCCAGATAAGAATTAGAGTATTGTCTGTCGTAATTAACGGTCAGTGGGCCGGGTAATTGACGTGTTTCAGGAAGTCAAAGTAATTAACCTCGATCCTTGTTTGATCGACTCACACGAAGGCTACATTGTTCCATTAACGTAACGTCGTTATCTGCCCGGAAGTACCGGCACTTGATTGACTCGTGGGAGGAGTAGCGTCATTTTAGAATAACGTAAACGTGGTGCTAATTACTGTTATTAGCAGCCTGAATTGGTCTGAGTATGAAAGGCTTAGACGGAATTCATACCTTAATGTAAATTGCTGAGCCAGTGTGAAAGGTTGCGTATTTTAATTGTTTAATTATTGATCTTGAGGATAGTAATTAATTACTCTAAAGGTAATCACGAGTGATTACCGTTCTCTTAGCACTTTGGACATTGTAAATCAGAGTTTACCATCGCTGAGTGATTAGTAACCGATTAACGTAAATTAACGTAACTAGTAGAGATTAATCAGCTGTCTGGAAGTACAGGGATTAATGGGATTTTCTCACTGAATGCTCGACGGGTAGAGTGTTGTTTGATTTCCGCGTTACTAGTGACAGTTGTAAGAGTTGTTAATTTAACGTAAATGTTACCTTGTTATTAACGTAAATCAATTGTTAATGATTGTTGATCGTCCGTGGGACGGAGTGTTAACGTAAGGATTAATTTGAGGAAGGGTGCTGGAGTTGCCAGTAAACCCATTAGTTATCGTTGTCATTGAAAGACTACTGATTTGATTGCATTGCAACCGCTGTTGCAGGAGTACACTGCACTGAGGCGTAGAACAGTTAGGAGGTTACTGGAGACGTATTTCAGAACCTACTGTGTCATTTGTTGTAATTGTGATTATAGATCTGTTAGTTCTTGTTTCTTGTTGATTCCTCTGTGGTCACGCTTATGTTCGAGTTAGTTCATTATGCAGTCCGAGGGGCTGGTGTCTAGCTGTCATTGATAGTGTCACAGGAAGGATTTCGAGTAACGTCATTGACATTTCTTTTTGTTTTGTTGTAGTAGTTAGTACTTTATTGAATAAACTAAGTTGTTATGGTTAACACTGTCTTTTCGTTACACCCCCACACATTATTATTGTTATGCAAATGTTCTTCACACTTGACTAATAAAATTGAGACTAATTTTCTGAGCTTTGGATCAAATATACGGCACCACACAACAATAAATTATTGTTGTGAGAGCCCGTGACCTACTCGTTAAACTTCTCACAGTTAACTACAAACTCTCACAGAAAGATTGTCTGCCAGTGTTGCCGGAAAACTTGTATGACCTCTGCCGAGTCAGTGATGTTTCTGTCGTTGGGAGTAAGTGATTTGTTTGAAAGTGGTGTAGTTGTTTACCCAGATTTTTTTAATGAATTTACAAAATTCTTAAGGGTTTGTATTTGTGCTGTGTATTTGTAAATTTTGTGTATTTTATAAATAACTAGCAGTACCCGGCCACGTGTTGCTGTGGCTCTGCATCACATGTGCGTTGCTGAGCCACAGCATCCTTCCCTGTCCCCCAGTCCTCCCCACCATTCCCCTCTCACCAGTCTCCTTGGCCTCCCAAACATTCCCAACTCCCCCATCCCCTCTTCCTTCCCACCATGCCCCACTTCCCTCCCACAATGCCCCACTCCCCTGTCCCTTTGTCCTCCCAACCATTCTCCATTCCCCCATCCCCTCGTCCCCACCATCCCAAACTTCCCTGTCCCCTCGTCCTTTCCCGCCATTACCCCCTCTCTTGTCCCCTCGTCCTCCCCACCATCTCTCACTTCCGTCCCCTCGTCATCCCCACCATTCCCCCTCCCTCGTCCAATGCCTTCCCAAATGGTCTCATGTTCCCATCAGAAATTGGGAACATCAAGTGATCTGATGTTCCAATAACTGAAATATAAGAAAAAGTTAAAAAATGAAATGAAAATATGAAAAAATAAAAAAATAAAACATACCCACTAAATGAACGGTATGGTAAACAACACAGCTCAATTCCACTGCAATTCACACAAAATAATCAAATCAAAATGTATGAAAATTCAATTTATCAATGCAATCAGAAACACTGAAATGGAATTGTAACATATTTAGTATAGCATGTGTGTTGCTCTTACGTGCAACAGATGGCGCTGTTTTCCAAGAAAAACAGTTATACCTGCCATAGGTATGGCATCTCTACTTGTACTTACGAAATGAACCGTATGGCAAATAACACAGCTCAATTCCAACACAATGTCACACAAAATAATTCAAACAAAAATAAAAAAATCTAAATCTATGAAAATAAAATTTATCAATGCAATCGGAAACATTGAAATGGAATTACTGACATATTTAGTGTAGCGTGCATGTTGCTATTATGTGCAACAGATGGCGCCGTTTCTCAAAAACGCATGTTTTTACCTGTCACCGGGGTGGAATCTATATAGTAGGTATATAAAAAGATGCGCCTATTCGAATGCAGTATTGTCAAAATTTCAAAGCAATCGGTGAAGGACTTTCGGTTACATCGTGTGTGGCTCTTACGACCAACAGATGGCGCTGTTTTTCAAAAAAGCATGTTTTTTCCTGTCACAGGTGAGCCATGTATATAGTAGATATATAAAACAGATGCGCCTATTGGAATGTAGTGTTGTCAAAATTTCAAAGGAATCGGTAAAGAGGTTTCGAAGATTTCCCTCACATGAAAAACACGTGTAAACCAGAATTTTTCTGAAAAAGCATTTTTTTGTACCGTCACAGACGTGACAACTATATAGTATGCATATAAAAATCTGCTCTGATGCGAATGGAACATTGTGTGAAAATTTCAAAGCAACCGGTAAAGAACTTTCTGAGATTAGCGGTTATGCACAAAGAAACACTTCCATTTTTATATATAGATAAAAAACTAGGCACATCATTGCTTGGCGTGAGCATTGACCAGACTATTGAGTAAACGGTATCAGAGTATAGTGAGGTCCAAGAGTACTTGGCCATGTCTGGGCTGGTTTTGTATGAATCTGTTTTGGTACTGTGTGATAAGTCTCCTGGCTCGTATGGAAGAGGTAAACGAGTACCTTCTCCTGTGGGTGATGAGCAGTGTTGTTGCACCCGCTGCTTGTGACTGTATTGTATAAGGTGTAGTTGGGTGTCAATGTCCTCGGGTGTTTTGTCATCATGTGTGAATGTTTGGTCTGGGCAGTATTTACAATATGCAAGAGACAGTTAGCTCTGTTGTATGCAAAACGTGGGAGACCCTGTATGAAGATTTGTGTGTGTGTGTGTGTGTGTGTGTGTGTGTGTGTGTGTGTGTGTGTGTGTGTGTGTGTGTGTGTGTATGTGTGTGTGAAAGATATGGAGGGTGACAGGAATGTGGTCCGAGCCTATGAAAGGGTAGGGAGTTGTGTGGTGTAGGTGGGTGCCTGATCTATTTGTGAATATGAAGTCAGGTCGCCCGAGGCCGTTGTTAGCATAGGACGTGTGGATGTCTGGTCCCAGGAACGTTAGTCGTTTTACAGGCATATTTGGTGGAGATTATGTCCGTGCTGGTTTGGAGTGTTGTGGTGAAAAGTGGAGTGTTTAGCGTTGAGGTTAGCCATCATGATGACGGGGACGTTGGTGTAGTTGAAGAGTCTATTCAAGTTATATTGTGGTATGTTGGTGTTAGGACGATTGTAGGTGGTACTAATAATGATTGATTCAGGGTGTGAGTAAAATGTTATGGCCTGAAGTGTCAGAATTGCCATAATGGCTCAATAATTTTGTCTGTGTTTGATGAGTATGACAATTCCATCGTGTGCCTCATCCGGTGACTGGTTTGTAGTGTATCCGTAGTGACGGATTATGTGAGCGTTTGTGTCGCACCTGGTGTTTAATAGTTGCACGTCGGGTTGGTCAGATTCAATGAAATCAGCCACTACGTATCGAATGTTCGATATTGTATGTTTGAACATACACCCCCGTATGTTCTGCCATTTAATTGTTATTTTATACATCTTCGTTACAGTGTTAGGTGTAAGCTCGTACAGTACCTGTGTGGTCCAAACGCATGTCGGCTGTCGTGACGATGGGTAAGGAGTCGGTAGAGAGGGCTCTTGGGCGATGCGCAACATTGCCCAGTTTGATGAGGGCTCTGAGAGGGGCCCAAGGTTGAGCATGTGACGGACCTCGGCGCTATCTACGATCCAGATGCCGAACTATAGCAGTTGACCCTCCCATTAATCGTAGTTTCCCATCTTCTAGTCGGCTAGGCTGGAAGGTGACGACCAATCAGGGCCCGACAACGGAAATCAGTGAAGCAGAGACTTTTGAAGACCTGAGGGTGGGCTAGTTGAGCGTTGTGGACTTTACTCCTGGAGGGATTAGCCAGTGAAGCTAGGTGAGCGCTGTGGACTTCACTATTGGAAGGTGCTAGCCTGTGGGGCTAGGTGAGCGCTCTGAACATTGCCGGATGAGCAATGCTAGTGCGCAAAGGAAAAGGGGGGGGGGGCATTTGAAGGACTGCTCCATAACGGCAGCTAGAGTAAGGACTAGTGGTGCCCTGAAGACCTGTCAGAGGCATAGTATCAGTCATCCGTGAAGCAGGCTAGCGTGAGGGTTAGTAACGCCGCTCAGGATGACCTCACATATAGACTTGTACATATCATGGTGATGGGTAAAATAACGGGTTATTTTAAGTGCTTTTATTTTTATTTACCCTAAACATTACACTATATTTCCACCAAGGTTAGTCCTCTGAATTTGAGTAGGATCATAGTTTAAAAAGAACCCGGTTACGAAGGGTTCGTAACAGGGCATCTCTCAGGACTTTTTCCTGTGGTGTGTAGTAGCCTATCGTGTTCGTGGGTCCCTTAAGGAAGGTTAGCCTCGGGTTCGTGGATGAAGTGGAGGGTCTCTCTTGGTGAGGCGGTGTATTGGTTGTCTGTGGTTGTGTGTTTTCCAACAAATCCGTCGGTGGTGGTAGGGAAGGGGGTGAGAAGGACCTCATTTGTGTCTGTGTGCCTACTGGATGGGTAGATCTTGGCGTGTCCGGTGACATTGGCATAACTTAGTGAGAGACGGACTTCGATGATGTCACCTGAGAGGCAAAGCTCAAGGCATCCAATACTGTGGGGTTGCCGCTCCCTCTGTGTTGTTGGACTGTCACTGCTGCCAATGCACGTGCCTCGGCTCTATAACCTCCCTAGAGGCTATTCTGTAGACTCCTGCTTCACTGCTAGACTGTTGCTGCTGTCAATACTAGTCGCGCGCCTTGGGACCAGACACAAATTTGTTATGCATACCAAGAGGTAACTGAAGCATTCAGCAGGCCACTTGGCATAATAATTAATTCCTTTATAAAAATGGGATAACTTCCTGACTGAAGGAAAATGGCTAATGTGGTATCAATATACAAGAAATGGGGAAGACAGACTATTACACAGAATCACATTAGTAACAAGTACTGCCTGCAAGTTGCTAGACTGATAGGAAGAGAGGCTGGCGTAACAGGAAAAGTTCTAGGGTTGGTCAGAGAGAATCTCTCAAGAAGGAAGCAAAGGGGCAGAGACATCAGAGTGGAGAGAGGTTATAAGTGGAGCACCACAAGGTTCCGTTCTAGGTCCCATATTGTCTCTAATTTGTCAATCGCCTAACAGGAAATTGGATCCTTCATACCAGTATTTCAGATGACGCAAAGCTGAAGAGAAGAAAGGACAGTGATAGTTTGAGGTATTTAATTAATCAGATTTTGACATACCTCAGAAATGTCCTGGAAAAAATGGCTGCCTAATTTTAACCCAGCCAAATGCAGAGTTACGAAAAATGTAACAAGCGTATTAACACCAGCATTATAGGAAAAATGAAAAAAACAATTTCTTAAAACAGGAGAGCCCTGGGAGTTAACATAACCCCATTTGTAATGCCAGAAGTCCACATTAGCAGAATAAGAGCTGCATAATGTCATACTGAACACCTTGCGTGCATCCTTCCGAAAATTTGAAAAGGGGGCTATTTTAGGCCTTATATACAGCGAAGGTGAGACCTGCACTTCGATAGGCATTCACAACATGGAACTCTTGCCTAAAAAAAAGACCATAATAAACTAGAAAAGATTCAAAAATATGTAAAGACTCGTTCTTGAGTTGAAGGGCATAAAATACGAGGAAAGATTGTGGGAACTCGTCCTTACCACACTTGAGGAAAGGAGAGATAAGGGAATATAACAATATACAAGATTCTAAGGGAATTTGACAAGGTAGACGAAGCAGTATTTTTCAAAGCTATGAACAGGAAAACAAGGGTTTGTAGAAAAAAAACTAGAGGCCAATGAGTCACTAGGACGTCAGAGATCGTTTTCAATGTTAGAGCTGTCAATATACTGGTGAGATGTTAAGGTCGTTGAAGCTTGTTCAGTTAAATGCTTTATATATAAATATGATAAAGTTGTGTGAAAGAAGACGGTACAATAGTCTAAGAATGTTTATATCGCGAGGGTCTAGGAGCCTTGCTAACAGCCTTCTGTAGGTAGGTGTATATGTAGTTGATATGACAGAGAAAAAATAGGTCTTTAATCGGTAAATTAGACACCCGAAAATTAGAAAGGTGGAGTCCACGAGGTAAGAGTTCGACCTACAGCCACACAGTAAATGCATATATATACATACAGAACGCTGAACACCGTAACAGGTTGCTGTACCTGGCCCCTGGCCGAAATAGTTACAGAAGGCGTTATGGAGCTTCCAAGCTACTAGGTGGGTGTGGTAGTGGGTTTAATGTCCAGTAGTGAAGTATGTGCTTTTAATACATACTGACACTTGCTCATACTTCACATTAATATAAATAAACTATATTAATATTGTGGAAGTGACTTGTGAATTATTTGTATGTGAGGCGGCCTCATGTCAGGTGAGGTGAATGACGTCACAGGTAGTTGACCCATCAGGCCAAGCTAGTCAAGAGGCGCGGCGGGCAGTGTGGCGCGGGCCGGCGTGGGGAGAGGAGCTGCTCAGCGCCCGCCTCATTGGTTTTACTAAATTAGTTGCCTGGACAGTCCTGTGCATGAGGTTACCTGCGCCAGGCTTACAGGCAAGTTACTCTAGATGATCAGTTGTTTTATCACTGTGTTCTGTTGGTAGAATAGTCTATATTTGCTGATTGTCTAAATAAGAATAGTTAAAAGATGTTAAGGCTTTATTTAAAGTAATTCAATTAGCTCTGGTTTACTCATTTGTAAATATAATGATATTGAGAAATATACTTGTTTATTAGTAGACTTTTATCTGTATTAGGACTTTCGATGATTATTAAAACAAAATTCTACTTTAAAACGATTGTTATGTAATACTGTTCCACAACAGCTGCTAGAGTGTCAACTTGTAGTGAAATTTACTGTTTGATAAAAAAGTAGGTGAAAAAAGTTTAAAAAATTATTGTTAAATTCAAGCAGTTATGTTTCTTGTGAACTATCGGATTTCAATCCTTGAAATATGGGCCAAAGACTTTTAATCTAGCAAGCGTCACATACCCCCCCCCCCCCCCCGGACCATCCTATGTGAATGAAACTAACCATCCTGAGTCAGTGTCGTCCACGCTGCCGCCAACCCCAGAAACGCCATAATTAACATTAACGTCCTGTATAACAAAGTACTATATTGTCCAATATAAGTAAATATTAATGTATATTTAAATTGTGTATAGGTCTGATAGTTGTTGAAGGAAACAATAGCACGTGAGTGTATTACAAACTGTCTCCCTCCCCTAATAAATAATATATAATAGGTCACAAATCAAAAACTCTTAAGTACAGTGTTAAAATGTAAACTGTTGTGGGTCGGTGCAGGAACGAGCATAGACTGAGGACAAGTTAAATGTTCTCGCCTAGTTGTACTAGCCTAGTTGTGTTTGCAGGGGTTGAGCTCTGGCTCTTTGGTCCCGCCTCACAACCGTCAATCAACTGATGTACAGATTCCTGAGCCTACCGGGCTCGTGTCATATCTACATTTGAAACTGTGTATGGAGTCAGCCTCCACCACATCACTTCCTAGTGCATTCCATTTACTAACTACTCTGATGCTAAAAAAGTTCTTTCTAATGTGTGTCCCCCTCCCCTTCCGGCCCGTTGGCGTCGTGAGGGGGCTTGGTGGACGGCTGCCGGAGTGTGATGCTCCGTTGGGCAGTCCTCTGTCCTTTTCTGACCTTGCACTCCTGCTGCTGTCTTCTCCAATTGTGCCGGATCGCTTTTCCTTTTCCTTATGTTTCGTTTTTCTCCCCCCTCTTCTCCTATCTGCTTGTCGTTTCCTGCCGACCTTTTGCTTGTTTTGGATTATTTCTTTGGACTTCTTCTATTTTGACGCCCGGGTGCTTGAGGAGGCATACTCTTGCACCCGTAGAACTGTAGTACCCGACGTCTCGAGCGAGGGGAACCTTTTATTGTCAATCCCCCTTTCGTCGCTGAACCCGATCTCGACGGACTGACGGTTCTTAAGGTAACGTTTGTGGGGCGTATACTCACGATGCACCCCTAGGGGGCCCCGGCATGATCGGCGATAGCTTCCTGTTGGGTGTCCTGCCTCTAATTGTGGCTCCATGGTGGGTGTGGGGGCACATTCGTGGATGAATTTTTCACTTTTCGTCTCTATGTCGTTGAATGTTTCCGTTGTACCCTCTCAGGCTCGTGGGGTGGGCGACCAAGCCCCCGAGTCGGCCTGTATTGGAAGACCAGGCTCTGTAGCTCCCGCTGCGTTGGGCCCCGACCTTGCTCCTCCTTTGACCGTCCTGACTTCTTCCCCCAGCTCCCCTCCCTCCTCTGAGGTTGGGTCGAGCCTCCAGCCCCCGGTGGTGACCACTTCGTCCCCTGGTGTGGCTAAGTCTTTCGTTGTGACTACTGCGCCTTTTGACCCCTCTCTCTCTAGGGGTTCTCAACGCCGTTCGCGCCCCAACCGCACTCGCTCGATTCCTTCCCGTGCTGATGCGTATCAGGCCTTGTTTGGTCCTGCTTCATGGGCCAAATACTTTGATCTCCTCCCTCTTGATTCTGCGCCTCCTGACGATTTCTCCCTCCATCGGCATCTTGTAGATTCCGTGGATGCGTGTGTTACTTTCAACCCCACTCGTCTCGGTACACGTGTCGTTGCTGCTCCTTCTCAGGATGCGGCTTCCCGCTTGGCTGCCTTATCTTGCCTTGGCGAGATCCCTGTTCGGGTCTCCAAGAACGTTCAGATGAATTCCAGTGTTGGCACTATTCTCCTCCCACCCCATGTTGCAACCGGTGTTCGGGATCTGCAGGATTGCCACGATGATATTCGGCATATCCTTGATGCCCAAGGCCATTCTGTCCTCCAGGTCGACTCGTTTACTCGTCCCCCTCGTGGTCGTCGCCGTCAACCCCTTCGCGTTGTG